TTATTGGAGATAGGAGTCTCACGGTCTTTCCTGCCCGGGCTGGCTTTGAACCATGATTCTCAGATCTCAGCCTCCTGAGTAGCTAGGATTACAGGTGTGAGTCACCGGCGCCCAGCTCATTTTTATTCCTTTCTAGAAAGAATTCTGACAGTGGCCAACACTTAGGGAACTAAAGATTTAACATATTAATAGCAATTGCTTGTAAACAATTTTCCAGAGCATTCTGGATGTGTCTGGCAACTCAGTTCTCCTCTAATTGCCAAGAAATAGTTATTAGTACTCCACCAGCCTTTTCTATGTCTATTCTTAGCTACAGTCAACTGTAATGAACAAATTACAACCTAATAATACATCTATAGGACTATATCTCCACCTTAGGTGTCAGACATTTTTTGTCATGACTAACTGCCCTTCCCACTTTTTTTCCTTCCTGTGCCCCTTCTACTTTTGTTGAAAACTTTTAGGTTTTTGAATCATCTCACAAAAAGGTTTCATACCTCCTTACAAGTAGGTAGTAGATAACTGTTTTTGCTAACATATCATATAGGTTACAGTGTAGCATGTTTCTATTTACAAAGTGGTTTAGAAAAATATACCATGTGTTCCTAAGTCAAACCTTGAGAAGAAAGTTAAAATCCCCATCTATTCAAAGATAAGCCAAACGAGACTCAAATGCAATACTTAGTCCCTCTGCAACACAATCCACATTTCAAGTTTGTAAGGGGCCACCATATTAGATAAGGCAGGTATAGAATGGGTTCCTCATTACGGAAAGTGCTATTGGACAGTATACTATAGAGCCAGGACTAGTCAATGATTAGAGAAAGCAGGATGAATGAACTGGAAACAGGCGGTGGCTGACTGAGAAGGGTCACTGGGTGAGTGGGAAGCAAGCTGACCCTGGAATAGTGACATCACAAAGTCCAGCTCACAGTGGCTCCAGAACACTTGAGCTCCTGGACCACTCTCTCTAACTCATGTCTAGATTCCTGAAGCCTCTGCACATGTAGTTCCTGGAGCTGCTGCTTTAAAATGCCACCATCTCCACCTTCATCGTATACCTGGGAAAACCTCTTAGATTCTCTCTCTCTTGGCACAATATGGAACTGGCTACAAGCAAGTTTTCTAGGAGACACTAATGCTCAAACTCAGCAAACAAATTTGGGGCTGCTAGATAATCTTGGTGCAGCTGTGCAAGCCATCCTGGGGATTTCCTTTTTGATTTTGTTGGCAATAGGATTGTTTACCTTATGGAAACGAAGCGTTCGGTCACTTCAGGTTGTACTCTTTTGTTACAGAGAAATTTAGTTATAAATTGAAATTTTCCTTTTTTGTGTGTTTTGAGATAGGATCTCATTTATAGATCCGTCAAACTTTGAACTCAATATGTTGCCCAGGCTAGTCTCAAACTTGAAATCCTCTTCCCTTGTAGTTGAGATCTGAGAATCACATTCCAAAGCGAGCCCAGGCAGGAAAGTCTGTGAGACTCTTATCTCCAATTAACCATCAATAAGCTGGAAGTGGAGCTGTGGTTCAAGTGTTGAGTGCTAACCTTGAGCACAAAAGCTTAGGAACAAAAGTCCAGGCCCTGAGTGCCCAGCACTAGCACACACACATGCACACACACACACACACACTCATGCAGGCATGCACCCTGCCTCAGTTTCCCAATGCTGGGCTATAAAGTACATTGTGATCAGTTATCTCCCACGTCACTGCCACCTGCTAAGACCACACATACAAGGGTGACCAGTTCTCAGTGTTTTTTAAAATTAGAATATTCTTGAAAATCTAATCAATTAGACTTTGAGTATAATAATTCTCTTACAATGGTCTTGAATTTGTCTATTAACACAAAATAGATGAAACAAACTTTTAAAAGTCTTAAATTTACTTGATTGCTTTAAGTGCCGATTGTATTATAGAACAAGTACTGTTTTATAACCAGGATCTTGGGTGTGGCCTTTCAGTTCTTACTATGCCATTATCCTTTAATGAAGAAATATTCATATTCATAAAGTCACATTTTTTTGTGCTAGTATGGGGGCTTGAACTCACAGTCTGGTCACTGTCCCTTACTTTTGTTTTTTGTTGTTGTTGTTTTTGTTTTTTCCTCAAGGCTAGCACTCTACCATTTCAGCCAGAGCTCTACTTCTGGCTTTTTGGTGGTTAAATGGAGATGAGCCTCATGTACTTTTCCTGCCCAGCTGAAGTCATATTTTCATTGTTTTAAAAAGATAAGTCTCTATTAAACATACAGGGTATTGGGGGAAGAGAAATTTAGCTGGCTGGGATTGTGAGAAATATTTAGTATTTTATATAGTTCTATTTAATCTCCAATAAGAATAAATTATTAATAGCCTAAGTGAAGTGTTTTTTTGAGAATCCCAGTAATTTTATGAAATTGATTTTTACATGAGGAACCTGAGGTATATTGAAACTCATTAGAAATTTAAGAAGAAAGAACTTAAAGAGGGCTTTTTGGTGTTGGGGGTTGGGAGGGCTTGAACTAGGCCTGGGTGCTGTCCCTGAGCTCTTCAGCTCAAGGCTAGCACTCTACCCCTTGATCCACCGCACCACTTTGTTTTCTCATGGTTAATTGGAGATAGAGTTTATTCATAGACTTTCCTGTCTGAGCCAGCTTTGAACTGTGATCCTTAGATCTCAGCCTTCTGAGTAGGTACAATTACAGGTGCAAGCCACTGGCAGTTAGCTAAAGAGGGTTTTCTTATAGAACCGTTTGATAGGTGCAAAGAGAAATTATTACTGGATCATTTTGTGGCATTCACTTATTTTCCTATCTTGCTATTGTTTAGGAATCATAGCCACATACACTTTCGTTTTTTTTTTTTGTCAGTTGTGGGGCTTGAACTCTGGGCCTGGGCGCTGTCCCTCAGCTCTTCAGCTCAAGGCGAGCACTCTACCACTTGAGCTACAGCGCCACTTCCGGTTTTCTGGTGGTTTATTGGAGATAGGAGTCTCACGGTCTCTCCTGCCCGGGCTGGCTTTGAACCGCGATCCTCAGATCTCAGCCTCCTGAGTAGCTAGGATTACAGGTGTGAGCCAGCAGCGCCCGGCGCCACATACACTTTCTATTTTAACTTCTCCAAACCTTTCATAAGGTGGGGACTGGTGACTCAGGAGGCTGAGATCTGAGAATCAGTGTTTGGACAGAACTAACTTGGGCATCCTAAACTGCGAGTCTCTTACCTCCAATTAAGCAGCAAAAATCTGGAACTGGAGATGTGGTTGAAATGGTAGAGAACCAGCTGTGAAGGAAAAAGTGGGGCAAGAGCTAAGGCCCCAAATTCAAGTCCCAATATTCACACACACACACACACACAACAACAACAATGACAACAACAAATCTTGCATCACAGGCAGAACTGGAATTGTCATCTCTATACCTTTGGGGTGCAGTAATTTGGTTACCTGCCCGGGTTTACAGTTTTTGCAAAGCTATGGTTTGAACCCAATTTTTAGGATTCCAAATTTAGTTTTTCTCTACAACCTCATTTATTGTAATCCATTTTATCTAAATCTCCAGCAGAAGTGTTTGTGTGTGTGCATGTGTGTGTGTGCATTTGTGTATATACACACAATGTTTGTATACCTCAACCGAAAAAGAAGGGCACTACTAATGCTGCTAACAGAGTCTGGGCTCACAAGTCTGACTATTTCTGTTTAATTGTTGTTGAGCCATCTATTCTGTGACCTAATAACAATCACTTCACCTCCATACCCTAGTTTCCTGATCTGTAAGATGGACATACTACTCTCAGATTCTTGTGAGGTTTACAGGAGATACTGTATATATCAAGCTTGGCCTATATAGATTCAATAAGCAATGATAGTATAAGATGCTGGTTATATTCTTATCCCAGCAGGAAACTGTTAACATTTTAAAACATTTTTGGAGGGTCTGGTCCTAGGGCTTGAAATCAGGGCCTTGTAATCTTGCTTGTTTTTTTGTTAAAAGCTGGTACTCTACCACTTGAGCCACACCTGCACTTTTGTCTTTTCGCTTGTTAATTGGACATAAAAGTCTTGGGGATTTTTCTGCCCTTACTGGCTTCAAACTGTGATCCTCAGATCTCATCATTAAAAGTATTTTTTTGTTGTTGTTGGTCGTGGGGCTTGAACTCTGGACCTAGGTGCTGTCCCTGAGCTCTTCAGCTCAAGGCAAACACTTTACCACTTGAGTCATAGTGCCACTTCTGGTTTTCTAGTGGTTAATTGGAGATGAGAGACTCACAGACTTTGCTACCAGGGCTGGCTTTGAACTGTGATCTCAGCCTCCTGTGTGGCTGGGATTACAGGCGTGAGCCACCAGCACCTGGCCAACTTTTTTTTTTTATGGCCAGGAAGTCTAGTTTTTCAGGGTACCACACATGGAAGAGAGAATTCTTGGATTCTAATCCTGGTTCTCTCATTTCCAATAGTGGTAGGGTCCAAAATGGAAGCGACAATATCAAAATAGTTACCCAGTTCTGTTTTTTCTACATAAATAAGTCATACATAGGCAAGGTAACTTCTTTTTTTTTTCAAATTCTTTATTGTGATTAAGTGATTACATAATTTCCCAAATTTCACAGTATTGTGGGATAGTGATGTTTAGTTAAAGTCACAAACACATTCTAACTTTCATGGGGCAAATTGTCTGTCATGGTCTATAACATTTATGAGTTCTATGAGCTTTGCAATACATTTATTTCTTCCACATTGGGTGGTATGTACATTTCTTTTGTTTTGCATAGCATCAGCTCTTCCCTCTTTCCCACTTGTTCCCTCTCTCCCATCGCTGCCATTGAGTTGCTTAATTCATTTTGATCAATGTCCAGTGCTGCTGATGAGTCCTGCTGTGGTATGTTTTTTTCTGATTCCCTCTAGTTCTGTGTTGTCCTCCTGGTTTCCCTCCGGTGTGCACATATATACACATGCTGCTGATATATGTGATCAGCAGCATGAGTGGAAGTCCTTTGTTTCTTAAGTCTTGTTAATTTTGTCGTATCACCTTACATTTTGGATTTAACATCCCCCTTTTTTGGGGGGGGGATCCGGTCGTGGGGCTTGAACTCTGGGCCTGGGCACTGTCCCTCAGCTCTGCAGCTCAAGGCTAGTGCTCTACTACTTGAGCCACAGTGCCACTTCTGGCTTTTTCCTTTTTGATTATGTGGTGCTGAGGAATCAAACCCAGGGCCTCAGCATGCAAGGCAAGCGCTCTACCACTGAGCCACCTTCCCAGCCCCTTAACATCCCCTTATCAGGGAGACCATGTGCCATTTGTCTGTTTGCTCTTGGCTTACCTCACTCAACATGATTTCTTCTAGATCCATCCATTTCCCTGCAAATACCATTATTTTGTCCTTTCTAATGGCTGCATAATATTCCATTGTGTATAGATACTACAATTTTTGATCCATTCATCTGTGGTGGGATATCTGGGTTGTTTCCATATCCTGGCTATTGTGAACAGTGCTGCAATAAACATGGAGGGGCATGTGTCCTTGTATACTGGTTCCTGTTGTTCAGGATAGATGCCTAGAAGTGGTATGACTGGGTCATAAAGGAGGTCAGTTTAGCTTTCTGAGGACCCTCCAGACTGCTTTCCAAAGTAGTTGTATAAGTGTACATTTCTACCAGCAGTGTAATAGGGTTCATCTTTCTCCGCATCCCCTCCAGCATTGTCGTTGGCTGACTTTAGGATGTGGGCCATTCTGACTGAGGTAAGGTGGTATCTCAGGGTTGTCTTTATTTGCATTTGCATTTCCTTCACAACCAGGGCTGGTGAACATTTCCTCATATGTTTCTTTGCCATTTTTGTCTCTTATTCTGAGAAGTCTCTTTTTAGTTCCCTTGCCAATTTAGTAATTGGTTTGTTAGGTTTGGGAGGGATTAGTTTCTCGAGTTCCCTGTATATAATGGATATTAACCCCTTGTCTGATATATTGCTGGTAAATATTTTTTCCCAGTTAGTTGGTTGTCTTTCTAGTTTGGTTGCTGTAGCTTTAGCTGTGCAGAAACTTTTTATTTTAAGATAGTCCCATTTGTCGAGTCTCTCTCCAATTTGTTGTGACCTGGACTCTGTTCAGGAAATTCCTGCCTGTGCCTATAAGTTCAAGTGTCTCCCCTACTTTGTCCTGCAGTAGTTTCTGAGATTCAGGTTTGATGTTAAGGTCTTTAATCCATTTTGAGTTGATGTTGGTGCATGGTGATAGGCTGGGGTTCACTTTTAGTTTTCTGCATGTGGCTGCCCAGTTTTCCCAGCACCAGTAGATGAAGAGGCTGTGTTTCTTCCACTATATGTCTTTGACTCCTTTGTCCAAATATCAGCTGACTGTAGGCATGTGGTTTTATTTCTGAATCTTCTATTCCATTGGTCTTCTGGTCTGTTTTTGTGCCAGGACCATGCTGTCTTTGTTATTATGGCTCTATAGTAGAGTTTGAAGTCCGGTATCAAGATCCCTTCCATGTTGGCTTTTTTTTTCTTTTTTTTGGGGGGGGGTGGTCGTGGGGCCTGAACTCTGGGCCTGGGTGCTGTCCCTTAGCTCTTCAGCTCAAGGCTAGCGCTCTACTACTTGAGCCACAGTGCCACTTCTGGCTTTTTCCTTTTTGCTTATGTGGTGCTGAGGAATCGAACCCAGGGCCTCAGGCATGCAAGGCAAGCGCTCTACCACTGAGCCACCTTCCCGCCCCTCATGTTGTCTTTTTTGCAAGGTAATTTCTAAAACAGATCTATCAGCATGCAGTAGACCTTCAGCAAATGGTATTTATTATTTGATTATTAAAAGCAATAAGGGGATGGGCATGTGGCTTAGTGGTAAAGGGCTTGCCTAGTATGCATGAAGCCCTGAGTTCGATTCTTTAGTACCATATAAACAGAAAAGGCCAGAAGTGGCTCTGTGGCTCAAGTGGTAGAGTGCTAGCCTTGAGCAAAAGAAGCTCAGGGACAGTGCTCCTCATGACTGACCAAAAAAAAAAAAAAAACAAGCACAATAAGGCCTGAAGTGTGTGTGTCTCAAGTGGTAGAACACTCATCTAGCAAGTGTGAGGCCCTGAGCTCACCCCTGGCACCACACACACACACACACACACACACACACACACAGCAATCCCTACCACTTCAGTTCTTGTTGATAATCAAAAGATTAAGTCGGTGTGAAAATGTTTCATTAAGGCTCAGCATAGGAATGAAGGATTACTGTTACTATTGGGTCTTATTTTGTTTTGCATCTAGAGGTTAACTGGTATTTTCATGAATGAACAAGTAATGCTCAACTTTTCTTTGTTTTAGAAAATAATGATCTTTGTGATCACACTCTATCAACTTTACAAGAAAGGCTCAGATTTTTTCCAAGCTTTGCTAGCCAACCCAGATGGAAGTGGTCGTCCAATTGCAGAAGGTGGTAATCTTTTACTATCTTTGGGTCTGCAAGAGAAAATTTTGAAAAAACTTCAGATGGTGGAAAACAAAGTGAAGGATCTGGAGGGCATGATTGTTGCCCAGAAGCCTGCCACCAGGAGAGATTGCTCCTCTGAGCCCTACTGCAGTTGCTCTGACTGCCAAAGTCCCATGCCTACATCAGGGTTTACCTCCACATCTGAAATGTGATGGACTTCCAATCTTTTCCAGAAATAATGTACTGTTTCCCTCATGCATGCAGTGGTGTATCAATAAAGATAGAGAACTATATTGAAAGTACTCTACAAGGACTGGCTCTGTGTTCAGTGTAACCCAGCTTCTAATTGTGTGTGAGGTGAGTAATGTGGAGGTATTGTGGCAGTTTAAAATGCTTAGGAGGCTGAAGGTGTAGCTCAGTGTTAGAGTACTTGCCTAGTATGCAGTTGGCCATGGGTTCAGTCTCTAGCATTGCACACACACACACACACACACACACACACACACACACACACACATCTCTGGGATTTGGGTGCTTACTCAGCAGGCTGGAGACTCTAAGGTAATACAGCCTTGAAGGAAAGGATAGCCAGAATAGAATGAAAGAAGGTGGAGGAAGGGAGGTAGGTTAGAATTACATGTGTATTTTTAAAGTGCTGTTTGAGGCCAGGCTGTGGACCATCCTGTACTCGTAAGCTATTCTGTGTTTTTGTGCTGTTTATTAGGTTAAGAAAAAAATGTACTCAATGACATTCTTTACTGAAATAGAAAAACAATCCAAATATTCATATGGAACAAGAAAAGACCTAGAATAGCAAAAGCAACTCTAGGCAAAAGAAACAACACAGGAGGGATCATACCAGATTTCAAGCTCTACTATAAAGCCATATTAACAAAGAGAGCTTGGTATTGGCACAAAACAGACCCATAGACAAATGGAACAGATTAGAAGATCTAGAAATTAAATCACATACCTATATTCAGCTGATATTTGACAAAGGAGCCAAAGACATTCAGCAGAAGAAACAGCCTCTTCAACTATTGGTGCTGGGAAAACTGGGCAGCCACATATAGAAAACTAAAAATGGATACCAGCCTGTCACCATGCACTAACATCATTAAAGACCTTAACATCAAACCTGAATCTCAGAAACTACTGCAGGACACAGTAGGAGAGACACCTGAACTTATAGGCACAGGCAGAAACTTCCTAAACAGAGTCTCAGAGTCACAAGTTGAAAAGAGTCAATGAATGGGGCTACTTTAAAATAAAAAGTTTCTGCACAGCTGAAGACATAGCTACCAACCAAACTAGTAAGACAGCCAACTAATTGTGAAAAAACTATTTACCACCAATGTATCAGATACCTAATATCTATTATATACAGGGAACTCGAGAAACTAATCCCTCCCAGATCAAACAAACCAAGCATTAAATGGCAAGGGAGCTAAAGAGAGACTTCTCAGAAGAGAGAAAAGTGGCAAAGAAAGCCGGGCGCTGGGGCTCACGCCTGTAATCCTAGCTACTCAGGAGGCTGAGATCTGAGCATCACGGTTCAAAGCCAGCCCGGGCAGGAGAGACCGTGAGATTCTTAGCTCCAATAAACCACTAGAAAACCAGAAGTGGCGCTGTAGCTCAAGCGGTAAAGCGCTCACCTTGAGCTGAAGAGTGCAAGGAATGCTCCCAAGACCAGAGTTCAAGCCCCACGACCAACAAAAAAAAAAAAGGCAAATAAATACATGAAGAAATGTTCATCATCCCTGGCTGTAAAGGAAATGCAAATAAAAACAACACTGAGATACCACCTTATCCCAGTCAGAAGGGCCCACACCCTAAATTCAGCCAATGACAAATGCTGGTGGGGATGTGGAGAAAGAGGAACTTTACTGCATTGCTGGTGGGAATGTACACTAATACAACCACTTTGGAAAGCGTCTGGAGGTACCTCAGAAAGCTAAATAAAGACCTCCCCTATGACCCAGCCATACCACTCCCAGGCATCTACCCTGAGCAATAGGAACCAGGATACAAGGACACATGCACCTCCATTGCGTGTTATTGCAGCACTGTTCACAATAGCCAAAATATGGAAACAACCCAGACCCCCCTCTACAGATCCAAAAATTGTGCTTCCTATATACAATGGAATATTATGCAGCCATTAGAAAGGACAAAATAATGGCATTCACAGGGAACTAGAACAAATCATTTTGAGTGAGGTAAGTCAAGAGCAGAGAGACAAACGGCACATAGTCTCCCTGATATGTGGACGTTAAATTAAAAATTCAAGGAGATATGACAAAGTAAACAGGACTCGAGAAACAAAAGACCTCTGCTTAATTCGTCGTGTCATTTCTAAATGACTTCATGTTCTTGACCACATATTTGGTATATATTTTGAGGGAAGCTAGGAGGAGGGCACAGAATCAGAGCGAAATGGGGAAATATACAACAGAGGGGCCCATCAGCTGCACTGGACATTGATGAAAACGAACTAAGCAATTCAAGGACAGTCAACGGAAGGGAATAGCTTACACTAAGCAAAAGGAAAGAAGTGTACATATCACCCAATGTGGAAGAAATTGTTCTATTGTCAAAGCTCATAGAAGTCACAAACTTTATAGACCATAATAATGACAATTTGCCTTGTGAAGGTTAAAATGTGTTTGTGACTTTAAGTATCACTATCCCATAATACTGTGAAATTTGTGAAATTTATGTAATTAATATCAATAAAAAATATTTTTTAAAAAAGAGAACATGGACAAACTGGCATGGTGGTGACAGCCTTCTGGCCAGATAATTCTCTTCTGCATAGTTATTTACACTCATCAAAAAAAAATGCAGAGTGGGGCTGGGAAGGTGGCTCAGTGGCAGAGCGCTTGCCTTGCATGCCTGAGGCCCTGGGTTCGATTCCTCAGCACCACATAAGAAAAAAACCAGAAGTGGCACTGTGGCTCAAGTGGTAGAGTGCCAGCCTTGAGCTGCAGAGCAGAGGGACAGCGCTCAGGCCCAGAGTTCAGGCCCCACAACCAGACCCAAAAAAAAAAATGCAGAGGCTGGGAAGGTGGCTAGCACTAGCCTTGAGCTGAAGAGCTGAGGGACAGTGCCCAGGCCCAGAGTTCAGGCCCCAATACTGACAAAAAAATGCAGCTCAAGGTCCCCCTGAATCAATTACTTAGGTGAGTAAACTTAAGAGTGAAATATTTAATTTCAGGCTGAGAATGTGGCTTAGGTGGTAAAGTGCTTGCTTTAACATGCATGAAGTCCTGGGTTTGATTCTTTAGTACCACATAAATAAAAAAGCTGGAAGTGGTGTTATGGCTCAAGTGTAGAGAGCTGGGCTTGAGCAAAAGAAGCTCAGGGACAGTGCCCAGACTCTGAGTTCAAGTCCCAGGACTGGCAAAAAAAGTATTTTTTAATTTTCTCATTTTGCTGCTGCCTGCTCTGTGCTGCCTTGTGAGAAGCCCTGAGTGTTTGTCCTGAGCGCTTCAGGAGCATTCAAGCCTGGCTAAGTAGACAAGTAATGTTACAACAGGAAATTGTGGTACAAAGGGGTCATATCAGCTTTTTGTTGTTGTTGGTAGTGGTGGTTGTGGGGCTAGAACTCAGGGACTGGGCACTTTTCTGAGCTTTTTGGCCAAAAACTAGCACTCTGCCACTTTGAGCCCAGCTCCACTCCTGGCTTATTTTTTTTGTGATTAGAGATAAGAGTCTCATGAATGTTTCTGCCTGGATTGGCTTCGAACTACCATCCTCAGATCTCAGCCTCCTGAGTAGCTAGGATTAGTGAGCCACCAGAGCTTGGCTGTGTATTGTCTTAAAGTGAGGTGAGTTCTTATCCGAGTCCCAGCTTAGTAAGAAGGGAAAATGGTGGGAGGCTATTGTGGGCAACAGGGAAAGCCTTAAGGGGGAAATGGTAGTGGATAGTTTTAACAGGTCTGAGATTCCTTATAATATGTACATTCCTTATAATATATACAATATATACAATAAATGTGAGTAGCCATTTCAATCTGACATCTAAATGAAATATTCCACTTGGTGTGCAAATAAACAGTAACTTGTTGCCATGTGGGAGAGAAACTAGCTCTATAGTCAATAAGAGACAATATGGCGGGGCTGGGAAAGTGGCTCAGTGGTAGAGCGCTTGCCTTGCATGCTCAAAGCCCTGGGTTCGATTCCTCAGCACCACATAAGCAAAAAGAAAAAAGCCGGAAGTGGCACTGTGGCTCAAGTGGTAGAGTGCTAGCCTTGAGCTGAAGAGCTGAGGGACAGTGCCCAGGCCCAGAGTTCAGGTCCCACGACTGGACCCAAAAAAAAAAAAAAAAGAGACAATATGGCAATCTCTTGGTTGGCACCTTCCTAAGGAATTTCTAATAGTAAGTCTGATAATTTATAGTTTCTGATGTTAAAATGCAATCCTTATGTAAGATGAGACTTCATTTTACAAAGTAAAGTATAAGTGCAAAAAAAGTGAATGGAGGAGGAGTAAGAAAGGCTTTGCCTAGAGGAAATGACTGAATTTCCCAGACAGATTACATAGACAACCAAAGAGCTAGAAGGTATTCATTCCAGGGATCATCCTGAAGATACTTAAAAGAAGAAGATGGCTTGCTTAGGGAACACAGAGAATTTCAGTGGCTAATACATGGGTTGGTCCTAGCACTGTAATGAAGGATTTTAGCTTTAAAAAGCAAGGACAGTGATCTTATCTTCAAGTTTGTTTTAATTCATGATATGGTGACAAGTACAGATGGGAGTTGACAATGGACTGCATCTGACAGTTCAGGCAGGAGGTTTGGTAGTGAGGCAGATAGAGTGCAGCTGTCAGTTTTTTAAGGTCAGTGTCTATGTTGTACTATCCAAGTCATCTTGTCTTTATTGCTCCTCTGGGGCTCATCAAAGGAAAGCATTAGAAGGGCCTTGAAGAGTAGACTAATGTCAATAACAACACATCTTTAAGGCTATACTGTACAGTTTAGGCATTGGAAATTGACCATTAGAGGTCTTTTAATTGGAGAGTAATATAGATGTAGCAGCCTGTGTGGAAGACAGAAAGTAGAATGAGGAATTTGTAGAAGATGAAACACACTGGCTACTCCTGTTAGGCTGCCCAGTATAAAAGGAACTGGTGGGACCAGCTTGATCTTGGCTGTCAGTTCTTCTGGATGTGTGTGTGAGACACATCATAGTCATAGGAAATTGATAC